TACCGTTTAGAATGATTGATGAATCAAAAAATTTCAATTGAACTTATTCTTTCAATTGGTATTTTTGCTTATCCCCGTCTCTTTTAAAAATTGAAACTTAGGTAAGTGCTTTATAAACATATGTATAAAAGAACATATTTCATTTAGCTCCTTCATGCCTACTCTAAACTAGTTATTTCGGTTTTTACTAGCGGCTTTAACTATAACCTCAGCTCTATTTATTGGTCTGAGTAAGATACGACTTATTTGAAAATTAATTGAATGAACGAACAATTAATAAAAACAAAGTTTTCTGTCCTATTCCATATATTCTATAGTTCCTTTACCGTGTTAATTATCAATTATTAGTTATTGATATTCATGGGCAATAGAGATTAATATTAGGGATAGATATTACCTTTCTTTTTCTCCTTTCAATAAATTGAAATGATTGAAGTTTTTCTATTTGGAATCGTCTTAGGTCTAATTCCTATTACTTTGGCTGGATTATTCGTAACCGCATATTTACAATACATACGTGGTGATCAGTTGGACCTTTGATTAATTAACATCTCTTTTTTTGACTGACCCCTTTAATTTTAATTTAATTAATTTAATTCAAGGAGGTCAAATTCGAATTGCTGTTCAATTTTTTTTTTTTTTTTTTTTTTTTCAGTTCGGTGTAATTTTCGACTTAACAAGAGCGGAATCACGCTCTGTAGGATTTGAACCTACGACATTGGGTTTTGGAGACCCACGTTCTACCGAACTGAACTAAGAGCGCTTTCTTATCATAATAAATAAGACTGTAAAAAAGAGGATTCTTTTATTTTATAACCCCAATACATCGTGCACACCTATACTATCATATATCATATATAATATGAGAAAATGATAGATTATGTATGCTTAATTTTAATCAATCTAAAACTAAAATGGCTCCCTCCTTACTGCTCAAAGGAGAAGTAATAGGTAGGGATGACAGGATTTGAACCCGTGACATTTTGTACCCAAAACAAACGCGCTACCAAGCTGCGCTACATCCCTTTCAATTGGCCTACGATGTTATTGTAGAGAATCCCTGTCTTGTTTTTCCACACCCTTATTTCATCTATTGATATACAAAAATTATCTTTCCATTTCCTCTTTTGGTCTCATATCATATAACAACCATATAATGAATAATAAATGAATCTTTTTGGCGGGAATTCTCAGGCAGAAAGGGACCTATTTTGCTGTTTTAAAGAAAAGGAAAATCTTATCTATCGAATCATTGTACATTTAAATTTTAATTTTGAATTAGGAATTCCGGTACAAATATACAAATACAAGTGGTCTTTAACCACACATACATGTGATTATATATGTATTACCATAATGTATGTAATACGATAAGAAGGAGGATTTTAAATGCGAGATCTAAAAACATATCTTCCGTAGCACCGGTACTAAGTACTCTCTGTTCGGTTCTTTAGCGGGTTTATTGATAGAGATCAATCGTTTCTTCCCGGATGCGTTAACATTCCTTTTTTTAATTCTAGTTATTGTCGCGGGACGGGGTGAAAAAGATTAGATCGATATACAATCAAATATCTGTGACTAATCTCTCGCCCCCCTTGACTTTAGTTGTTTTTAGAATTATAATTATATAAGAAAATGAATTCTAATTATATAAGAAATAATTCTATTTAGTTTTTTTAGAATTCTAATTATATAAGAATTATATAAAATAAATAAGGAAGGTAGAACGAAAAAAGTGGATTGAACCTCAACAAAACTTGGGTTCAAGCTCCAATTAAATACTAGTAGAGCGAAAAGAGAAATGTGGCTGGAACAACAGTATCCCTACAAGATACTTAAAGAAAATACCGTACTGTGATTCTAAATCGAGTTAGAAATCATTGTATTACTTATTTACTATTAGTATAATACATATTGATTTACTATATTGATTGCAATTGATTGCAACGAAATCTTTCAGGATTTGGTTTTGAGTTAGCAACTTTTATTTATTTATTTTCATTCCTTTCTTCTTCACTTTTGATCGGAAAATAGAAGAGTTGGGTGAATTAAAAACTCAAAGGGGGTTCATGGCCAAGAGTAAAGATGTCCGAGTAACGATTATTTTGGAATGTACCAGTTGTGTTCGAAACGTCGTTAATAAGGAATCAACGGGCATTTCCAGGTATATTACTCAAAAAAATCGACACAATACGCCTAGTCGATTGGAATTGAAGAAATTCTGTTCCTATTGTTACAAACATACAATTCACGGGGAGATAAAGAAATAAATCGAATCAAGTACTCGTATGTCAACCCTTCCCGAGAATATGAGAAAATAGGACATTAGGTATTTAGGTAACATTAGGTATTTAGTATGAGAAAATAGGACATTAGGTATTCAGGTATAATAATATATATTATATAATATATTAAGTAATATTAAGTATATAATTAGTTAGATATAATATATAACTAATATATAACAAATATTTTATTTATATATTAGTCTATATTTGTATTTCCTTGTCTATTCCACGCTTTCTTTTTAAAGTGAAGTTTTTAGTTTTAAATTATTCTATATGCACGTTAATAAATTTTTAACCTTTTTAACCTGGTATATGATTGTATCAATATTCTTTTATTTTTTTTTATTCTATTTTTTATTTAGTTCTTATTTTTTTAATAATTTTTTTCTTTATTCTCGAGTCAATTATTTATTTTTTTAGTTTACCGTCTTCGAATGATTTTTAGTTTACAGTCTTCGAATGATTAGGAGTTGGATTTTCATTGATTAGGAATTAGATTTTTAATATCACTAACTATTTTTTTTTTTATTTTCTATTCGTGCATAATGATTATTTTAATATTGTTAATTTTAATATTGTTGTTAATTTTAATATTGTTAATATTGTATTATTTATTATATTGTATGATTTATTCATTACTATATTTTTTAGTTATTACTATATTTTGTATTTATTACTATATTTCATTATTTATTTCTTATTTTATTAATTATTTATTATTTTCGTGTCGGTTCTATATATATTTATAAATTATATTTATTTATTATTTATGTATTATCACAGTTATAGATATTTATTTAAATTATATTTATATATTAAATATATTAAAATATTAAATTATATTTATATTTTATATATTAAATATATTAAAATATGAAATTATATTTATATATTAAATATATTAAAATATGAAATTATATTTAAATAAATATCTATAAATAATATAATAATAAAATAAACTAATAAAATAAACAAATAAATAATAAATAAATAATTAAAATAAACTAATAAAATAAACAAATAAATAAGAAATAAATAATAAATAAATAATACAATAATAAAAAAACAAAGCAAATCGTATTTATTCTATTAATTCTATAATTTGAATTTGATCCGATCAAAATAGGATTTTAGAAAAGGATAGGATAGGATTATTTTTAGAAATAAGGAATAAAGAAATGATGGATAAATACAAGCGATCTTTTCGTAGGCGTTTGCCCCCGATCCAATCGGGGGATCGAATTGATTATAGAAACATGAGTTTAATTAGTCGATTTATTAGTGAACAAGGAAAAATCTTATCTAGGCGAGTAAATAGATTGACTTTAAAACAACAACGATTAATTACTATTGCTATAAAACAAGCTCGTATTTTATCTTCGTTACCCTTTATTAATAATGAGAAACGATTTGAAAGAAGGGAGTCGACCGCTAGAACTAGAACCAGAAATGAGAAACGATTTGAAAGAAGAGAGTCGACCGCTAGAACTACTGCTCTTAGAACCAGAAATAAATAGGCTTACCCTTCAATTGACTCAAAATTATCAAACGTAGACTGATGCTTTATTCAAAAAATCTGATAATCAAAATTGTCGTGTCGTAAGAAAAAAGAAATAAATAAAAGAATCGAATCGGGTTGGGGAAGAAAAATAAATTTTTTTTTTTTTTATTGAGCGTCTTCGCTCATCTTGTTTTCTTGTTTTGATGACCTTATCAGAATTTTTTTATCATATTAATTTCTACTCTACCTCCCTCGAGTTCATTCTCGAGGGAACCCATTTCATTTAAAGCATTTCGGTGGATTCCTTCCGATCTCCTTATTTTATAATCTCGTTGGAAATCATATAAAGACAATTCTATTTGAGATAGCTATTTGTGCAAGTATTTTACGATTAAGAAGCAACTGTTTCTTGTACCGATTTTTTATTAATCTACTATAATTATAGGATACCCCCATTCCTCGAATTCCTGCATTTATTCGAGTGATCCACAAACGACGAAAATATCTTTTTTTCCTATCTCTATCCCGATCAGCCGAAACCAAAGCTCTTACCTTGTCTCCGAGCTATATATCCCTCTTTCATTCTGGTCATTGAATAAAAGAAATTTTGATGAATAACTAATTCTTTCTTTCAGTTATTCTTTTCTAGTCTATTAATAACAAAACGGATTCTTCCAATGTATAAAATAAAAATTCCAATGGCTTTTGCTACTATAACCGTCCCGCCCACGATTTTTCCTTTTTTCTAGGCATTTCATTTCGCCTTGAAATAAGAAATTGTATTGATACTAGGTATCAAAAAAAGCATATTAACTAAAATAAAGGAGTAAATAGAAATGGATAAATAAATAGTGGGTTCCATCGTTTCTATGGTTACTTCTTAAACGGTGAGGTCCCCTCTATACACCGGAGCTCATTCCTTCATTTAACATTTAATTGGTAACTTGTACAGTTCACACTCTTCGGCTCTACTCATAAATTTTTCAGTAATAGATCTTTCACAACGAGATCTATCTTATACAGTAACGGTATGTAATTAGGAGGATTAATTGGGTAGCTGACCCTGTTAGTCCGTTCTTTGCAAGAGTCGAAGCATAATCTTTTTGCTTTTTAAATAGGATTTTCCCCGCTTAATGGATAAGCATTTGCTACCAATGGGGAATTTTTAAAAAATTCCAAGATTGGATTTGCGCCAATGGAAACCATAAATTTCATACACAATAGAAGGATATGGTAGATCTATCTTTTTTAGATAGTGAACGGAAGAACCCCATTCTATTCACTGGTACTGATCGTTGATACTGAAAAATTGTTTCCTTTTTCTCAGCCCATGATCTGAACAAGTCGCACATACACCCTAGTACATCTTCCTCGGCGCTGAGGACATCCCCGAAGAGCAGGGGCTTTCGTGACATTTCTAATTGGCTGTCTTGCATTTCTAATAAGTTGTTTAATAGTTGGCATGCTGAATCATATACAATCATATACATAATAGACTGGTTTAGATCGATCCTAACCAGATGATTATGAATTACTTCTTTTTCTCTTTAATAGATTAATAAAATATTAATCTATTAAAGAGAAAAAGAAGGAAAGGAATAAGAGGGATTAAATCAATCTAAATCAAAATTAAATGGTGTTCCATTGTCGTCAAATGGTGGTCTTCCATTGCCATTGTCGTCAAATGGTGGTCTTCCATTGCCATTGTCGTCAAATGGTGGTCTTCCATTGCCATTGCATTGTCGTCAAATGGTGGTCTTCCATTGCCATTGTCGTCAAATGGTGGTCTTCCATTGCCATTGTCGTCAAATGGTGGTCTTCCATTGCCATTGTCGTCAAATGGTGGTCTTCCATTGCCATTGTCGTCAAATGGTGGTCTTCCATTGCCATTGTCGTCAAATGGTGGTCTTCCATTGCCATTGTCGTCAAATGGTGGTCTTCCATTGCCATTGTCGTTAACTAGTCTCCATTTTTTATTCACTATAGGTTTGTTATTCACTATAGGTTTGTTATTCACTATAGGTTTGTTATTCACTATAGGTTTTTCATTCACTATAGGTTTTTCATTCACTATAGGTTTTTCATTCACTATAGGTTTTTCATTCACTATAGGTTTGTTATTCACTATAGGTTTTTCATTCACTATAGGTTTTTCATTCACTATAGGTTTTTCATTCACTATAGGTTTTTCATTCACTATAGGTCTCGATTCTGTACGCACTATATGATCCACAATTCCATGATCTTTGGCTTCTTTTGCTGACATAAAATTATCTCTTTCCATGTCTTTGTTTATAACCCATCGGGGCTGGCCCGTTCTTTGTACATAAGCCTCTATGATGTCTTCTTGCATTTTCATTACTTCGTCTGTTTCCATGACCCAGTCTTTGAAGCCATCATCCTTAAGCATACTAATAGGTTGATGGATCATTACCCTGATGATATAACATACTTCTAACTCACATAATGAGGCGAGAAGAATAGCTATAGAATTGAACAACCGTACAGGCATTTTTTGCGCATTGCATACGGCTTTACAATTGCATACGGCTTTACAATGGAATTCTCTTTTTTCTTTCATCGAAAAAAAGAGAAAATATAGAGTCTATTAGACCCAGATTAATAAATAATCCAATTACCATCCTTCTTTTTCTTTTTTTTCGGAAAAGTTTAAAAATACTATGATGGCTCCGTTGCTTTATATATTTATTTCGTCTGTGATTCAGCAATCCCAAAGTTTCTTTTTTTTTTTTCAAAAAAAAAAAGAAAGAAAAAAAATAGTCTTTTTTTTTTTCGTACTCTTTCATAACATAAATATTGTTAATAGCCTCTGGTAGGAAAAGAAAAAAAGTTTGTGACGCCTGAGATGGGCCCACGATAGCTAAGATCAAATTGGAAATGCCCCTTCTCTCATACTACTCTTTCGATACATAATCTAATATTTTTTTTTGAAAAAAAAAAAAGAAATAAAAAAAAAATTTCATATCGAATTCAAAGTGCCATGCTATTATTACTTACTAATTCATATTTCATATGGCGAAGGCATAGTCTTCTTTTTTCTTTCCATCAATAATAAAAAAAAAAAACTCATTGGCGCCGAGCGTGAGGGAATGCTCTGCGTTTGGTAATTTCTCCTCCGACCAAGAGAAAAGCTGCGATTGAAGCGGTCAATCCCATGGCTAGTGTATGCACATCTGGTTCCACTGCTTGCATAGTATCAAAAAGAGATAATCCAGATACTATCCCTCCGCCAGGAGAGTTTATAAAAAAAAACAGGTCTCGGCTATTACTCTCTATACTGAGATAGATCATAATACCCGCAAGTTGATTCGAGGTCTGGATATCAAGCTCTTTGCCCAAAAAAAGCAATCTTTCTCGATAAATTCGGTTGATTAGGATAAAATTGTATCCCTTAGTAGCCGTACAGGCACCTTTTGATGCATACGGTTCAACAAAAATTGCGAAAAAAAATCAATGTGTAGATTCCAGCCATCCTTTGTTTTTTCTAGTCGGACCTTTCTAACTTCTAATTTCTAATGAAGGGGCTTTTTCTTACATTTTTTAAATAAAATGAAATTTAAAATTAAATTAAAGAAAGATGAGTTTTGGCCCGTTTTCCTATAATATAGAAAAAATTCGCTAAACTTATTGCACAAACTTTTCATTGATCCATTTTTTTTTCATTGCGATTCAATCCAAATCACGATGTCATTTTCTTGTTCCTGAATGGGGTTCGTCAATTTTTTATTCAATTTTTTTAGGTTTATGCTCTACTCCGAGTAAAGATCTGCCCGATTTTTATTTGCACATATAGGACAAATGACCCAATACCACGTCTTTTTGCTATGATTTCATTTCCTTTTTTTATTTTAATTTAATTCCTTTTTCTTTCATGTTTTTCGCCAAATATTCAACGTATTTCCCATATTATTCGATTGATTAACAGTTTGAAATCGCTCTTATTTATAATTAAAAAAAAAAAGAAAAATTATGATTATGATATAGGTGGTAATCATAAATATATTACCAATTGGGTTTTTTCTAAACGGAGCCTGGATACTTCATTTTATCAGTCCAACCAAGCCAACCATAAATCATTCTAATTGAAAATATTAATCTGGATACACCCCCATGAAATGGATCTCTAATTGCACTTCATTACACTTCCCGCTACAAATTTTTGATAATTCAATCAATCTTTTTGGGGCGAAACAGGGGATATCTCGATCGGGCGAGAGAACGGGGGAATCCCATATGACCCAATATATTTGACAAGTCGCACTATATGTCAACCCAGCTTGCATCGTTATCTCCCGGAACTTGAAAAGGAACTTTTGGAATACCAACAGGCATAAAGTAAAAAGAATGTAAAATTATATTTCGCTTTGATTGTGGAAGCGTAATACGTAATGTAATACGTAATAATGGTCTTATCTTAATAATATGTAATATTATATTTCACTTTGATTGTGGAAGCGTAATACGTAATGTAATACGTAATAATGGTCTTATCTTAATAATATGTAATATTATAATATGTAATATTATATTTCACTTTGATTGTGGAAGCGTAATACGTAATGTAATACGTAATAATGGTCTTATCTTAATAATATGTAATATTATAATATGTAATATTATATTTCACTTTGATTGTGGAAGCGTAATACGTAATGTAATACGTAATAATGGTCTTATCTTAATAATATGTAATAATGGTCTTAATAATATGGGCCTTTATCATATTTTATACATAGATAGACTAAGGCCATAAAATAAAGAAAGGCGGAATGAATGAAAGAGAATTCTTACGAATAGGTCCTTTGAATGATGAACAAATAGGGATGCATTCATTCATAAAAAATAGGATCAACCCCCATTGCGTATTGATACTTATCGAGTATAGAATAGATCTGCTTCTCTTTTTTCTTCTGAGCCGAATTCTTCCCTTATTACTAATGGAATAGAACAAACATTAATCCTTTCTCCGAAAGAATCCACCGAAAAGGGGAGGTATTCCAATGCAATAAAGTTACATAGTGTCTATTTTTCGTTGATTTGATAAAGGGGTATTTCCATGGGTTTGCCTTGGTATCGTGTTCATACTGTCGTATTGAATGATCCCGGTCGCTTGCTTTCTGTTCATATAATGCATACAGCTCTGGTTGCTGGTTGGGCCGGTTCAATGGCTCTATATGAATTAGCTGTTTTTGATCCCTCCGATCCCGTTCTTGATCCAATGTGGAGACAAGGTATGTTCGTTATACCCTTCATGACTCGTTTAGGAATAACCAATTCATGGGGCGGTTGGAGTATTACGGGGCGACTATAACAAATCCGGGTATTTGGAGTTACGAAGGTGTGGCCGAGCACATATTGTGTTTTCTGGCTTGTGCTTCTTGGCAGCTATCTGGCATTGGGTATATTGGGATCTAGAAATTTTTGTGATGAGCGCACAGGAAACCTCTTTGGATTTGCCCAAGATTTTTGGAATTCATTTATTTCTCTCAGGAGTGGCTTGCTTTGGCTTTGGCGCATTTCATGTAACAGGATTGTATGGTCCTGGAATATGGGTGTCCGACCCTTATGGACTAACCGGAAAGGTACAACCTGTAAATCCAGCGTGGGGCGTGGAAGGTTTTGATCCTTTTGTTCCGGGAGGAATAGCCTCTCATCATATTGCAGCAGGGACATTGGGCATATTAGCGGGCTTATTCCATCTTAGTGTCCGTCCGCCCCAACGTTTATACAAAGGATTACGTATGGGAAATATTGAAACCGTCCTTTCCAGTAGTATAGCTGCTGTCTTTTTTGCAGCTTTTGTTGTTACTGGAACTATGTGGTATGGTTCAGCAACTACCCCCATCGAATTATTTGGTCCTACTCGTTATCAATGGGATCAAGGATACTTCCAGCAAGAAATATATCGAAGGGTTAGTGCTGGGTTAGCCGAAAATCAAAGTTTATCAGAAGCTTGGTCTAAAATTCCTGAAAAATTAGCTTTTTATGATTACATTGGCAATAATCCGGCAAAAGGAGGATTATTCAGAGCGGGTTCAATGGACAACGGGGATGGAATAGCCGTTGGGTGGTTAGGACACCCTATCTTTAGAGATAAAGAAGGGCGTGAACTTTTTGTACGTCGTATGCCTACTTTTTTTGAAACATTTCCGGTTGTTTTGGTAGACGGAGACGGAATTGTTAGAGCGGATGTTCCTTTTAGAAGGGCAGAATCGAAGTATAGTGTCGAACAAGTAGGTGTAACTGTTGAGTTCTATGGTGGCGAACTCAATGGAGTGAGTTATAGTGATCCTGCTACTGTGAAAAAATATGCTAGACGTGCTCAATTGGGTGAAATTTTTGAATTAGATCGTGCTACTTTGAAATCCGATGGTGTTTTTCGTAGCAGTCCAAGGGGTTGGTTTACTTTTGGGCATGCTTCGTTTGCTTTGCTTTTCTTCTTCGGACACATTTGGCATGGTGCTAGAACCCTGTTCAGAGATGTTTTTGCCGGTATTGATCCAGATTTGGATGCTCAAGTGGAATTTGGAGCATTCCAAAAACTTGGAGATCCAACTACAAGAAGACAAGTAGTCTGATGCAAGATTGCTTTGTTATTTTTCGCTTCTATTTTCTGTTTGTGATTTGACATAGGCTGCTGTAAAAATCTTGATTAAAATCGCTGCCTTTTCTTTGATTCTTGTTCTTTCGTTATTTTATTCGGGAGATGATTCTAAATAAATAGGTACGGAAGCTATAATTGTAAACCACGATCGAATTTATGGAAGCATTGGTTTATACATTCCTCTTAGTATCTACTCTAGGGATAATTTTTTTCGCTATCTTTTTCGAGAACCGCCTAAAGTTCCAACTAAAAAAATGAAATGATTTTTCATTATCTCAATTGAAGTAATGAGCCTCCCAATATTATATTGGGAGGCTCATTACTTCAATTAGTCCCCGTGTTCCTCGAATGGATCCCTTAATTGTTGAGAGGGTTGCCCAAAGGCAGTATATAAGGCGTACCCAGTAAAACTTACAAGTAAACCAGATATAGAGATGGCGACTAAAGTTGCTGTTTCCATTATTATATAATTATATAAATAATATATATAAATATAAATATAAATATAAATAATATAAATATAAATATAATTTCAAGATCACAATGGATCTATGATAAGATCGTTTATTTACAGCGGAATGATATACAAAGTCAACAGATCTCACTGAATACAAAATAAGATTTATGGCTACACAAACCGTTGAGGGTAGTTCTAGATCTGGTCCAAGACGAACTGTTGTAGGGGATTTTTTGAAACCATTGAATTCGGAATATGGTAAAGTAGCTCCTGGATGGGGAACGACTCCTTTGATGGGTGTCGCAATGGCTTTATTTTCGATATTCTTATCTATTATTTTGGAGATTTATAATTCTTCCGTTTTACTGGATGGAATTTCGCTGAATTAGATTCACAAGAACCACGAAGCCTCGCTTTTCAATACAAAAAGTGAAACTTTTAGTTCTCGGATTTTTTTTAGCCCATTCTATTTTGGTAGTTCGACCGCGAAATTTTTTTTGTTTCTGTATTTCCGGAATATGAGTGTGTGACTTGTTATAATTGATCCTATTGATAGTACAGAAAATGGGTCTGTCCTCTTGATCGAGATAGTTTTATCCCGTCGGATAGCCATTCTAGTATCTGGAGCACGGAATATATGAAATGGATCACGAAGTATTCGAACTATGATTCATACTTAATATTCAAACCTCGCGGCCGGACTCAAAAAAAAAAAAAATTTTCAAAGAAAGAGGTTTTTTATTTATAAATCGAGAAATTTTTTCTTCTTTCAAACTCTCATTTAGTTTATGCTTATTTTGATCAAAGGACAAACCTTTCTTTTCTTTGTATTTTTATTTATTATATCTATTCTATTCATTGAATAAGTGATGATCCAATAATTCTTACTCAAAGAATCTTTGGACTTAGTTTGAAGGTTTTATTGAATCATCGCGGTTCTGGTATGAATCTGAAGTTTCAATTGATTCATAGGGTCTTAACAAGAGAATTCCTATTAAAAATAAAGAAAACAAGAATAAAGCCACATTCCATATAAATAACAAATCAAAGCAAAGAAAAAGAAAAGAAATAAGTAGGTAAATAGAAGATTCAAGAGGCCTGATCAACATAAAGACGAATGCGCCGACTTGATTTTTTGGCATTATAATTACAACTACAAAAAAGAGCTTTCGGATTTTTACTCTTTTGTGTCTTCAGATAAAATTGAATGAAAAGATTAAGAAGTTTCAAACTTTCTATTCCATATCCGTTTCAGCTATTATTTGGGTGTTTTTGTTTGAGCTGTACGAGATGAAATTCTCATATACGGTTCTCAGGGGGGGAGTCCTCTTGGTTTACCTATCTCAATAAAGTCTATGATTGGTTCGAAGAACGCCTCGAGATTCAGGCGATTGCAGATGATATAACTAGTAAATATGTTCCTCCTCATGTTAACATATTTTATTGTCTAGGAGGAATTACGCTTACTTGTTTTTTGGTACAAGTAGCTACAGGATTTGCTATGACTTTTTACTATCGTCCAACCGTTACTGAGGCTTTTACTTCTGTTCAATACATAATGACTGAAGCTAACTTTGGTTGGTTAATCCGATCAGTTCATCGATGGTCGGCAAGTATGATGGTCTTAATGATGATCCTGCACGTATTTCGTGTCTATCTCACTGGTGGTTTTAAAAAACCTCGCGAATTGACTTGGGTTACAGGCGTGGTTCTGGCTGTGTTGACTGCATCTTTTGGTGTAACAGGTTATTCCTTACCTTGGGACCAAATTGGTTATTGGGCAGTCAAAATCGTAACAGGCGTTCCGGAAGCTATTCCGGTAATAGGATCGCCTTTGGTAGAGTTATTGCGTGGAAGTGCTAGTGTGGGACAATCCACTTTGACCCGTTTTTATAGTTTACACACTTTTGTATTACCCCTTCTTACTGCTGTATTTATGTTAATGCATTTCCTAATGATACGTAAGCAAGGCATTTCTGGTCCTTTATAGAGAATATAGACCATAGCTATATTGTAACCAATCATTTATCTTATTACTTGCCAATCATTTATCTTATTACTTGGGGGAGGAACAATAGTATTTCATTGCTACAAATATGGATTGTTGAAAAAAAAAAAAAAATAAGACATGTATTTGGATATTTCCTTTCAACTCCACAATATTCTATTATTTATTTGATATGACATGAATAGTTGAAGGGAATTCCCCGAAGAGAAAATGGATTATGGGAGTGTGTGACTTGAACTATTGATTGGGCCATGCAGAAATATGCCTTTATCTGCTACATTGGAATTCACAACCAAATGTGTCTTTGTTCCAACCACCGTGTAAGCCCCATACAAAGGATAGGCTGGTTCGCTTGAAGAGAATCTTTTCTATGATCAGACCTGACGATGTCGTGTATGAACAGGGCTCCGTAAGATCCAGTAGAATAAGTGATTTGGCATAATGCAAATTAGATTTTATTTATTTATTTTTATTTTTTTTTTACTTTCTTATCTTAATAGTATGAAAATACATTCATTTCTTCTGCATCGACCCGATTTATTATTATTATACTATCGGAGTGAAACAAGGGATCTAAAGAAGAGCAAAGGCTAGACTATATTAGTAACAAGTAAATCCTTTGTATGTAAAAAATCTCGATATATTTTTGGGATAAAGGTGAATCGCAAGGCCTAAGACGACCCAGAAAGCACTTGATCACGATCAACTTTGTACGCCTACTTGGGTATTGAGCATTTACCTGTAAAAATGGCATTCCTTGGAATGTATAGTTGCAACTTCGTAAAATGGAATCAGGTAACTTTTTTCTTACATATGAAATCATTCATATATGTGTGGATAACATATAGATTCATTTTATATGTATCCGTTTGTATCCATTTGATTCGATTGATTTTTGCTTGAGCCGGATGATGAAAAATTATCATGTCCGGTTCCTTCGGGGGATGGATCTAGAAAAATTCACCTATCCTAATAACAAAAAAACCTGACTTGAACGATCCTGTATTAAGAGCTAAATTAGCTAAAGGTATGGGTCATAATTATTATGGGGAACCCGCATGGCCCAATGATCTTTTATATATTTTTCCAGTAGTAATTCTCGGTACTATTGCTTGTAACGTAGGCTTAGCGGTTCTAGAACCTTCAATGATTGGTGAACCCGCGGATCCATTTGCAACTCCTTTGGAAATATTACCTGAATGGTATTTCTTTCTGTATTTCAAATACTTCGTACAGTACCTAACAAGTTATTGGGTGTTCTTTTAATGGTTTCAGTACCTGCGGGATTATTAACAGTACCTTTTTTGGAAAATGTTAATAAATTCCAAATCCATTTCGTCGTCCAGTAGCGACAACCGTTTTTTTGATTGGTACTGCGGTGGCCCTTTGGTTGGGTATTGGAGCAACATTACCGATTGATAAATCCCTAACTTTAGGTCTTTTTTAAATGAATCAATTTTAAAATAAAATATCATGATGTGCGTATCTAGGGAGTAGTCACTTCAAAGTCAAAGTGAATTCTCCCTAGATACATTTATTCAATTCTGGTCCCAATATATGGATTGTGCTGAAGGTTCAAAATCCATTTTCGTTTTTTTTTTTTTTTCTAATTTTCTAAAGTAAAAAAAAAAAAATGAAATAAATCCTAAATCCAATGGATTTAAAATTTTGGTAAATCAATTTCGCAATGCTTTTCTACTTCTTTTCTAGAATGCCCAATATTTGTTTTACATCTTCTATGCGAAAGTGTTCAATTTTCATAAGGTCTTCTTGACTGTTATTCAAAAGGTCCAATAATGTATGTATATTGGACTTTTTGAGACAATTATAGATCCTGGGAGGCAATTCTGATTGGTCAATAAAAATATATTTCAATGCTATTTCTTTTTTCTTTTTTCTTAGTTTAGCTAATCTATCATGAAAAGGAAAAAAAGGTAAAGTAACGTTGTGTTGATTGTTTTCTAAATGTAAGTTTTCTTCTTCCGCATCTAGAAAGGGAATAAATAAATCAATCAAATTCCGAGAGGCTTCATGAAGTGCTTCTTTAGGAGTTAAACTTCCATTTGTCCATATTTCTAGAAAAAGTATCTCCTGTTTTTCATTATCATTCCCATAACAATGAATACTATGATTCGCATTTCGAACAGGCATGAATACAGCATCTATAGGATAACTTCCGTCGTGAAAGTTCTTTGGCGTTTTTATACCGTATCCTCTATTTCTCTCGATTTGTAATCCAATACACAAATCAATTGGTTCGGTTAGGCTAGCTATATGCTGTGTATTATCAACGATTTCCACAGAAGGCGGTAAGATGATGTCTTGAGCAGTTACATATCCGGGACCCTTGGCACAAATAAAGGCGTTACGAGTTCCATACAAATTACTTCTCAATACAATTGCTTTTAAATTCATTAAAATTTCATGTACTGATTCTTGAATACCTACTATGGTAGAATATTCGTGTGGTATTTTCTCAGATTTTGCACGTGTAATACATGTTCCTTCTATTTCTCCAAGCAAAGCTCTTCGCATCGCAATGCCTATTGTGTCGGCTTGGCCTTTCATAAGTGGAGACAGAATAAAGCGTCCATAATAAAGACGCTTACTATCTGTTCTTGATTCAACACACTTCCACTGCAGTGTCCGAGTAGAGACTTTTACTTTCTCTCGAACCATAGTAATATTATTTTATTTGATCAGATCATTGAATCATTTATTTCTCTTGAAATCTCTTTAGTGTTTATTTCTACACACGTTTTTTTTTAGGAGGTCTACAGCCATTATGTGGCATAGGGGTTACATCCCGTACGAAACTTAATAGTATACCACTTCTACGAATAGCTCGTAATGCTCCATCTCTTCCGAGACCAGGACCTTTTATCAGAACTTCCACTCGTCGCATACCTTGGTCTACTACTGCTCGAATAGCATTTCTCGCTGCGGTTTGAGCAGCAAAAGGAGTCCCTCTTCTTGGACCCTTGAATCCACAAGTACCGGCGGAGGAAGAAGAAATTACCTGACCCCGTACATCTGTAATAGTAACAATGGTATTGTTGAAACTTGCTTGAACATGAATAACTCCTTTTGGTATTCTACGTGCACTTTTCCGTGCACTACTGCGCCCATTCCTACGTGAACCAACTTTTGGTATAGGTTTTGCCATATTTTATCATTTCATAAGGATAAGTCAGAGATATATGGATATATCCATTTCATGTCAAAACAGATCTTCTATTTTTATTTGTTCATCGCTTTCTTTAAGATTAGTTTCTTTTCTTTAACTTTAAGGAGTTCTTTTTAGAATAGAAAGATTATCCTTGTCTCTGTTTATGTCTCGGGTTGGAACAAATTACGACAATTCGTCCCCTCCTACGGATTAGTCGACATTTTTCACAAATTTTACGAACGGAAGCCCTTATTTTCATAGTTGTTATTCCTTAAATTTTTCCGAATCTACTTATTGGAAGAAAATAAGTTTCTTGAAATTTTTGAACCTTGAATTGGATCCCCCTGAAAGGAATCTTGAAGTTGAAAAAACTACCTAATCGTTCGAATCCTTGTTGCGGAGTCTATAAATTATACGCCCCCTGGTTGAATCATAAGCACTTACTTCACTTTTGTTGACTCTATCCCACGGTGGTATACGTATAAAACTCGATCGGACCCTTCCTGAAACATAACCTAGAATCAGATCTTCATTATCTAAAGGAATCTGGAGTGGACGTGATTCACTAATTAAACCTCCATGAATCCATTTTTGTTCTTTTATTCCAGGTAAAACTTCCTTGACGTATCAACTACTGTAGGGCAGGAGGAGTTCTATTAGACAACCCGTGCTTTTTTTTTTCACAAATGGAAAGTTTCGGATTCGGATACAATTCGGATGTTAGACAGATTACCATATATAACACAAAATTTCTCCGCCGATTCCTTCTAGTCGAGCCTCCCGGTCTGTCATTATACCCCGAGAAGTAGAAAGAATTACAATCCCCATCCCGCCTAAAATTCTAGGAATTTGTTGATAGTTAGAATAGATTCGTAGACCGGGTCGACTGATCCGTCGTAAATTTAAAATAGTTCTATATGGTCCTTTCCTATTCCTTCTATGCCGTAGGGTTAAAACCAAAAAATATTTGTTTCTTTCCCGATGTTTCCTTATGTTATCGATAAAACCTTCTCGTAAAAGTATTTTAACAATGTTTTCAGTGATGTTAGTAGATCCTATTCGAATCGTTCCTTTTCTATTCATGTCAGCATTTCGTATAGAAGTTATTATGTCAGCAATAGTGTCCTTACCCATGGTAAACTAAAATTATTGTTGCTCCCGAATTTTGATATAACCAACATGTTCTTTTTTTTTTTTTACTTAGTAAAGGTATATACGTGAGACACAATCTACTAATTAATCTATGTCATTTAAATACTCTAATTTAAATACTATAACTATATTGAATTGAGGTCTCGTCTTATAATACCTCAGGAGCTAATGAAACTATTTTAGTGAAATTTAACTGTCTCAATTCCCCGGCGATCGCACCAAAAATTCGAGTTCCTTTTGGATTTCCTTTTTGATCAATGACAACTGCAGCATTGTCATCATATCGTATTATCATACCGTTGTCGCGTTTGAGTTCTTTACAAGTACGTACAATTACAGCTCTGATCACTTCTGATCTTTCTAGAGGTGCCTTTGGTACTGCTTTCTTGATCACAGCAACAATAACGTCACCAATATGAGCATATCGGCGATTACTAGCTCCTATGACTCGAATACACATTAATTCTCGGGCCCCGCTGTTATCTGCTACATTCAAATGGGTCTGAGGTTGAATCATTTTTTTTAATCTCTTCTTTCAATGGAACAAAGGACGAAGAAAAAAAGAAATATTGTTTGTCAAAAAAAAAAAAAAAAGGAAACCCGCAATTGTTTTTTTTATTCCCAAGACTTCTTTCCTTTGGTTCTATATTCCTATCCTGAAATAATGAATTGAGTTTTTATAGGCATTTTGGACGCCGCTATTGAAATAGCCTTTCTTGCTATATTTTCGGCTACTCCGCTCATTTCATAAAGTATTCTGCCCGGTTTAACGACAGCTACCCAATACTCGGGAGATCCTTTCCCCGAACCCATACGTGTTTCTGTAGATCTTACCGTAACTGGTTTGTCTGGAAATATACGTACCCATATTTTTCCACCACGGCGTACATTTCGTGTCATTGCGCGGCGCCCCGCTTCTATTTGTCTAGATGTAATCCAAGCGGGTTCAAGTGCTTGAAGAGCATATCTACCGAAACAAATGCGATTACCTCGATAAGATATTCCTTTCATTCTTCCTCTATGTTGGTTACGAAATCTGGTTCTTTTTGGGTTATAGTTGATGGTTGTTTATTAATTCCATCTCTACTACAGAACTGGACATGAGAGTTTCTTCTCATCCAGCTCCTCGCGAAAAAAATGACTAAAAAATATTTTATTTTATTCTTAAGATATATAGGTAGTTACTGAATAATAGATTGAATCCTGGGATTCTTTGCTTTGAGATTTTATCTGATCTATTTGAGATTTTATCTGATCTATTATAAATTTGTATATCTTGTTTGGATATATATTGGATATATATATAAGTAATTAAACATGGATTCTATTTATAGATAATGTCTTATCTTGTTTTTGTTATAATGTTATAACGAATCTTTATTTTGTTTTGTCTTTTTTTATCATATTCATCTCGGATCGACAAAAATTTAACAATCAAATAAAATGAAAATAAAATTTTTAAAATGAAAATAAAAAAAAAAAATGAAAATAAAATTTTTAAAATGAAAATAAAATTTTCGCGGGCGAATATTTACTCTTTCAATATCTATTTCAGTTGTCGGGTTAACTCATGACCTCTCAGAATCAGAACAGAATAAAAAGAAATGAAGTGGTCTCTGGTTTGTTCCGCCATCCTACCCGATAAATCATTAGGATTCGTTTTCAATAGAATCCTCTGCATTCACGGGTTCCGTCGTCCCCATCGCTTCTCGATTAATGCTTAGGTCTGAATTCTCCAATGGAGCCTTAATTTAATATTTAATAAAAATTTAATATTTAATAAAAATAAAAATTTAATATTTAATAAATAATATTTAATAAAAAAATTTGTTAATTTGTTCTTTAGTCAACCTTCTCAGTCTTTATTGACTTAAGGCTCTTGATTTTTTCTTCGATGAACAGATATTCATCTAATTATTGATGAATCTCTATTGATGCTCTATTACATTGCTCTTTATGAGATGCTTCGTAGACCTTACATATTGGAATCAATATATCATTTCATTTCTATTTCTTTTTCTCTCTTTCTCTCATCCTTCTATTTATCCACATACTTTTTTATTTTGCTTCACAATTTAGATATATTCATAATCAGATTGGTTTTTTTTTACTTAACTTAATGCAAAAAAAAAGATTTCAGTTGCTATAATGATATGACCAATATATCATATCTTGACTGATTCTTTGGATCCAGATAATCCGAAGCGATGAGTTGGTTATTAGTGCTATAGTTATTAACTTATACTGTGGTTCGCCCATTTTTTTTTTTGAATCCTAAGCCTAAAAACCCAACGAGTCGCACACTAAGCATAGCAATTATATCAAATGATCATCAAATTTTTATTTAACCTTATAGAATATAGAATTTAGAACTGCTCATTTTTTTATTGAACATAAAAAAATGAAAGAATTTGTCATTTTTTGTTCTATCGCAGAATAGAACGTAAAGACAAGTAGAGTCTTATTCTTATTATTCTTCATCTATAAATATCTATAAATATCCAAATTTTGATTCCTAATACCCCATAGATAGTTCGAACTCTATAGGAGCAATACTCAATTTTCGCTCCAATCGTTTGTAGAGGAACCCTACCTTCCCGGATCCATTCGACACGCGCAATTTCTTTTCCGTCGATACGCCCTGCAATTTGTATTTGAATTCCTTTTGTATCTGCTTGCTCAGTTAATTCAATAGCCTTTTTCATTGCTTTTCGAAATGAAACTCGATTCTTTAATTGTCCGGCTATAAATTCGGCAAGAATATTAGGGTGCCCGTAAGGATTTGCAATTCTTGTAATAG